TTGGCAGAGGGTGCGTGAGTAGGGCCTTTGTTGACGCTCTCGAACCGCCCGCTGCTGCCGGCTGGCGAAGGAGGAGGATGAGTGAGGTCCGGTGCTGGGCCGTCCACGACTCTCCGTGCCCTCCTGGGACCCAGAGATAGAGAAAACCGCTTATTGTACTCTTTTAGAGAAATTGGCTTCTTTAGAGAAATGCTCTTTTACGTGCTGAGACGCACAGTCGTTTGCAGCACGACAGGGGGTAGTGCAGCCTGAAGTGCGCAACCCACTCGACACAGGAACGACCACCGCTGAAGCGCCGTCCGCCAACACAAAAAGCTCCCGAGAGCACGCTAGACTCGTCACACACGAAGCAGTTTGGTAGGAGCAGAACGATGTTTTCGCTCGGCTCCAAAGCGAAAAGCTGGTATGCGTTGCACCAACTGCCTTTTTATGCTAAATCTGTGATCAGCGGCAGCTAGATGCAATCATCGCATGTCAATGTGCATTGGCTCGTTTAGTTTACACTCGAAGTGGATTGGTCTCTCTAAGCGAGATCCCAATTCGCCGGCGTAACATAGCTACGTATGTGCGCACACAGAGAGATTGTTTCACCTGCCTCATCATACCTCCTGGATTGCACAGATGGTCATCTAATGCTTGACATTCAGCAAATGATGACAAGAACAGTGCGATGCCATTTCTCCACTCTGTGATCTCTCTGTTTCTACAGAGGACAAGAACTGAAACAGATGTGCGTTGATAAGCCTGAGATAGCGGACCTTCACTTATGTATAGAAACTGCAGAAGCCACTGTCTGTGACCACAGCTTCAAGAATGCTCTGGGTGATGAACAATGCAAATTTTAACTAATGCCACAGTGCCATATGCTCCGCTATCTCTCAGCAAAACAACCTCTGACTCTGCTGCAAGGTGTGGAACTGCAGAATACGTCTGGCTGACCTTCAAGCACTTTGTAAGGGTGCAAGGAGTTTGATTTAGCTTGATTCATATTTGCTTTTTGTAATCGCATGAACACATCGAATCAAATTACACTTCAGTCTCTTCATTCGTCTGACAAACTCATTCATGCATTTAGTTTAAAACACAACCATTTGCCTCAGTTTAAAAAGCTTTAACTTGCAAAGATTAAATGTAAACAAACTATAGTGCTCCTTAAATATATATGCTTTAAAATGCACTTAAATTGCAAAACAGGGCTATTTAATAAAATACAACTACTGTATTATGATTAATAATTTTAGAGCCCATAAAATTCAAAGAAACCTAAAAACTCCATTTGTGTATGGTATAAACCCAGAGTGACTGTCATAAGCACTTACTATGAATATGCTAATTTGTTTATTAGGCATATTTATGAATATTTTTGACAGAGAAGCTCTGGTGTGGAAGACCCTCCTGAGAAAATTATGGCGTTTAATAAGGTTGGAAGTAAAGCAATACAGAGATCCACATAAATATTGCAATGAGGTCTCAACGATTCCCCTGAGCGCTCTCTTGGCAACAGAACAGGTGAATAATGCATGGAAAAGCCTTGGAGGAATAGTGGTATATTTTTGAGCGAGGCACACTGGGAATTTTTGGGACTGCTTTATTTATTTATTTTTTAGGAATAGGAGGTATTTATAGCTACACATCAAATGTGATGATCCCCCCTGTAGGAAGAAAAGCCACAAATGAGTTTCTTTAATATCTCAATTGTTTCTCCTGGACAGCAATGACATTAAATTTTATGGTAATTTTAAATGAAAATTTAGACTTTTGGCTCTGTCACCTGCTTCTCAGATTTTTCTCTTGAGAAAAACACCCCACTGATTTTGTCTCCTCTAGAGTTTTAGAAGAGATCTCAACAATCAAAAACGCTGATACTGAAAATAAACATAACTGAAGTCTGATAGATATAGGTAGGTAGGTAGGTAGGTAGGTAGATAGATAGATAGATAGATAGATAGATAGATAGATAGATAGATAGATAGATAGATCGATCGATTTTCTTCTCTGTCATCTTTTTTGTGCACTTATTTCCATTTACCTATATTCAGTTAAGAAGAAGAAAAATTGAGAGGAGGAAGAGATTTATTAATCTTACTGGCTCAGTATGAGATGGCTTGTGTAGTCATATCCCATTTGGTGTGTTTGATGTTGTATTGGCTATCTGTAATATTTCATAACTTTGGTTAATGAGGTGAAACTGTTGGGCCCACATTCAATTTAATGTCTCTTTTTTTTACAGGCAACTTTGATCTAGTCCATGAAATTAGAACATTAACATGATTTTGCCTTTCAGGATTTAAATGAAATGTAGAACTTTCTAGAGGGTGAAATTCAATAATATTACATTTATTATCACAAATGATGAAGTGTATATTCTCTAAATATATTTTATAACTTCAAAAAACGTGGTGTTTTTTCTTACATAACTTGTTTGCATGTTCAGTGCAGTCTGTACTTGCTGGAATTGTTTGTTATATTTCTTTGGTTATTGTCACTGAAATAAATATATTGTATTAATAAATAATAAATAAATTAATAATAATAAATTAATAATAATATTGTCACTGATTTATGACATACAACATTTTTTATAAATGAGGCATGATTGCATAAAACTAATCAAATCTAATTAAAATCTAATATGCCTGATACTTTCATCCTTCATTTGCCCCATATTTTAGTGCAAATAGCACCACATGAAAATTAGCTTGCTAATTGTAATAACTGTGCAGCTTTGTACCTTGAAATTGACTCGAGGTTCAGAGGGTGGACGTGAATAGCTCGGACCCCTCTGCTCAATGCTTCTACACATCCCTTTCAACTCATAAACAAATGTCCTACATCTAAAGCATTCCCATAATTGTTATGCTAACCTTGGAGAAGGGAACCAAGTCATTAGCATTTGAAGGAGCTAAATATTAGCCGAGAAAAAGGCTTCTCTCTTTTGTAAAGGAACTATGAAGAAAATGTGCATCAGAATCCAACCATCTGTGCCATCCGTCCTCTCTACAAAGAGAAGAAAATATTTCACTATAACCTAGGAAAGGTTATGGTGTATGTATTTAATAAACAGATGTGTCTGAATTCAGAAATGACATTAATGTCAGTAGGCTCATTGGAAAAAACATCCCTCTACCTACATTTTTGAAAAACTCTAAAAATTTACCTGTACATCTCATTCTCAAACTCTGGGTTTTTTTTTTTTTTGGACAACAGTTTACGGTAACGGGTGCAGATTATTGATTAATAAATACTTATTTTAGGGCCTTACACAAAACAGTGTTATGACCTCAAAAACACTTTTATAACTACACAATTTATGAACGTTTGCATAAAAAAACAGCTCAATATGTATGGCTTTTCTCACAAAGTAAACTTGCTTGGTTACTCACCTGGTACAGCACTGCACGTGCTATTCAGAGCATTTTGATGCAAGTTTCGTGAAACAGGAGCAGTGGTGTATTGTAAAGAAGTAATAATACTTCGTTACAGTACTTAAGTATTTTTGGGAATATCTGTACTTTACTTGAGTTTTTATATTTCAGACAACTTTTACTTTTACTCCACTACATTTCCTAATCAAAATGTATACTTTTACTCCGATACATTTCCCCGAAGCATATACGTTACTTACTACAAAATAGTCAGAAGTCAGAAGAACACGGACTGCAGGAAAGCAGGTTTGACGAATCAGTGGTCTGCCGTTTGCAAGTTAGACTCCTAAAAAACACCTTTGCTCATGTGCAAACAAGTGCACGGCTGCGCGCACAACCGCGGATGATTCCTTTTCCACTCAAGTCGAGTCTGGGGCGTGCAATACAGCATCATCTGCGATAATACGGTAAGTGTTGTAATGATGTGCGATCTGACATTATCAAGTATA